TCATAAAAAAATTCCACTAGGAAGAGGCTCAAACGCCGAGGTCCGTACGGAGGTCCGTTTTTATAGGTCCTGACATGAACTTTCCTCTCTATATATATATAATTGTAAATTGTAAATATTTATAAAATATGCGTGTTATACATTAATAAGCAGAGGTAAGGGTCAGATTTGGTACTCGAACTTGCAAAAAAAGGGGTCAAATAAGTCCTTATATAGGAGACTCTGTCCAACCATCGCCATTTGAGGCGGTTCCCGATGAAATTTTTTGACGAAATTTTTTGAGCATCTTATTCATGAAGTCTAGTTTACTCATACTGAATTTCAGCTAACAACTCAACCGGGAAAGCATTGAAATGAATTCTTGAAGATAACTGCGCAGTTAAAAATGCAGTTGTCTTCAAGAATTTATTTGAATGCCTTCCCGATTGAATTTTTAGCTGAAATTTTGTATGAGTAAACTAGACTTCATGAATAAGATGCTCAAAAAATTTCATCAAAAAATTCCACCGGAAACCGTCCCAAATGGTGACGGCTAGACAATAAGGACTTATTTGACCCTTTTTATGCAACTTCGAGTACCAATCTGACTCTTACCTCTTAATAAGCACTATTGTTAACAAAAAGACATTGCAGCGTAGTGGATTAGGCATTGCATATGTGTTCTCGGATTATTAGAGGTCTATTGATTGAATCCCAACTTAATTTTTTTATTCTGTTTTACTTGTTTATTTTTTAAGCTCTAAATTATTTTAAAATGGCTTTAAATAGATGTATTCAAATTTTGGCGATATACCATTAAGCTCTCTAGACTCTAGTGCATGGATAAGAATCATAATTTTGCTATGGTAGCTTTCTCATCAAATCGACTAATCAAATTTAATTTCTTGCTTTTTGGTTTCATAGAAAATCTCATTTGATCTTGTATGTAATTAAAATTGTGATTTCTCAATTTACTTGTCAAGATATTATATTCTAGAATAAAATACTCCGTATATATGTAGTATATTCTAGATGGTGGATGCAACATCTTTCGGAGACATTCACTTTCCCATTAAGTGCCCCTCAAGGATCCCGAGCTGGTTCCGCCACTTGTGTCGCGTGCGAGAAGATGAAAAATGAGATAAGAAGCTTAGAAGACTTGATGAAGTGGAATAGACTAGCTAGTAATATGGTAGCGATGGAAATTGAGTTGAGTTTCTCAAAAATCGGGAAGGATGCGTGTCGGATCGAAGCAGATCGCATAGACTAATTTCTGGAGAGAATAATAGTTGTCAAAGATTGAGAGGAGGTCTAATAGACCAAGGAAAAGTTCATGTAGTAGCATTTTGTTACTTTAGTTTTAATTTGTGCTGGATATTATTTCATTTTTTATTGGGAAAAGGTGCAAATAGGCCCATGTACTAATCAAAAAAGGTCAAATAAACCCTTATTTAGGAGGTTTTGTCTGGCCGTCGTCATTTGGGGTGGTTCCCGGTGGAATTTTTGATGAAATTTTTTGAGCATCTTATTCATCAAGTCTAGTTTACTCATATCAAATTTCAGCTAAAACTTCAATCAGGAAGGCATTCAAATGAATTCTTGAAGATAACTGCGCTTCTAAATGTGCAGTTATTTTCAAGAATTCATTTGAATGTCTTCCCGATTGAAGTTTTAGCTGAAATTTGGTATGAGTAAACTAGACTTAATGAATAAGATGCTCAAAAAATTTCATCAAATGGCGACGGCCAGGCAGATCCTCCTAAATAAGGACTTATTTGACCTTTTTTGTTAGTACATGGGCCTATTTGCACCTTTTTTATTTTGAGTCTTGAGGTGTGTGTGACTGAAACTTGTGATAGGCTATGATGTGTTGGTTAGAGTATTAAAGCTCACATGGTTGGAAAATTCTTCAAAATTCTCGGATGATTGGTGAAAAGATTTGCTCGGTCTTGAGCCATCTTTTCTATTTCTGATCGGTGAGGAATCTTTAGATTGTTAAGAGTTTAGTAAGGAGCAAAAGGTGTGGTCTGAGTATGATGCAAGGATCATGAATATTATTATTTTATCAATATACACGACTTTCATTGAAAAAAACAATAAAATTAGTATAACAACAACAAAATTTAGTTGAAAAAGCAGTCCAAGTTAACCACTGAGATCGGGATTTTCAAAATTGTAGTATCACAATTAGTAATATGAGAAATTATAGTTTTGGTCGATCTAGTAACTAATTAATGTGAAAATTATTACTCCGTAGTAGTTTAACTTTACATACTTGTAGATTTGGTTCTATAACTAAAAACTTGGCTCCTATTAGAGAATTTTTTATATAGCGTATAATTTTCAGCGGAAAATTATACTTTTTGATGGAAAAATCTTTAAAATGCTCAACATTATTAGTTTCATGGCATGATATGTGTATGTACGCAAAGTTATGAGACTAATAGCGTCACAAACAAAAGTATTAAAATTTCCACTTGGATTAAAACTTTTTTATTTGATTTTATTTGGTCTTACCTATTTAAGCTCATGTTGTAATGATATGATATTATGTGTATATTTTATTATTACCTCTAAGTGTGGTATAGTTTGGATTGGGAATGAAACATGTCCAAATGAATATTCTAAATAAGCAAATTTCCGACATGTACATTTAGATGTTTCATCCTAGCTTCCATCATAATATACGTAGTAGTAAATTATATTAGTATTATAGAAAACAAAACTTATCAAGATGTCATCAATCTTGGGCGGAGCCACATTATCAATGTGGGGTGGGGGCGAAACCCTCATGTGTGACCTACTTTAGATTACAAGAAAACACAAATAAATCTCCCAAGTTACGTTGGTGCGTGGGTAACTATTTTAACTACTTTTATTTTGCATTTTATAAATTATATTAGGTCTAAGGTTTTAGCTAGTGTTAGTTTATGAGTCCGTTTGGCAACCCAATTTTTTGGTTTATCAATCTTATCAGCCAACTTTTTCACCAAACACGTAACTTTTGCTTCCGTGCGCTGAATTGTGTAATAAGCAGAAAAGGTAAGATTGGGATTACTTTTGTGGCTGTATTGGCTGAAGTTACTGTAAACGACTAATTTAGCTATTTTTACATATAATTTTTTCTTGGCTAAAGGGTCAAATAGGTACATGAACTAACTTAAAGTGTTCAATTAGCCCCTTATATAGGAGGTTCTGCCCGGCCGTCGCATATTGGGGCGGTTCCCAGTGGAATTTTTTAATGAAATTTTTTGAGCATGTTCTTCATTCAGTCTAGTTTACCCATACCAAATTTCAGCTAAAAATTAAATCGAGGAGGCAGTCAAATGATTTTGCGAAATGTACTGCGCTGTTTAACATCACAGTTATCTTCAAAAAATCATTTGACTGCCTTTCATGTTGAATTTTTAGCTGAAATTTGGTATTGGTAAACTAGACTTAATGAAGAAGATGTTCAAAAAAATTCATCAAAAAATTCCACCGGGAACCACCCCAATTGGCGACGTCCAGGCAGAACCTCCTATATAAGGGGCTAATTGAACACTTTAAGTTAGTTCATGTATCTATTTGACCCTTTAGCCTTTTTCTTTATTTTATTAATAACATATATTTTTAGAATATTTTTTTAAATCACCAGAAACAACCAATGCAGCCACTTCAGCCAAAATTTCATAAATTTCAGCAGAATCAGCCAAAATAGTCGATTTTTGTGCTACCAAACAGGCTCTATATTTTTATAATTTATAATTTTGGATTTTTGCATATACTATCTTCGTCCCACTAACATTAGACATGAGGAGAGGGGTGCGGTTATTTAAACAATGAGTTTTGTGTTTAATATAGAATTGATACAAAAGAATTATTTAGAACAAAAAATTTTCAAATTTGGCATGAGTGAACTTTAGTGAACAAATCGAACATAAAACATGATACAATCTTAGCGGGGCTGAAGGAGTATCAAATTTGACATGCGGAGTATAAAACTAAAAAATACTAAGTATTAAATACAAAATATATAAAAATATAAAATTGAACATAAAATAAAATATTAAATCGAAAAACGTAATATATGTTACTCCTTCTGTCCCAGGTAAAGGTCCCCATTTTGGTTTACGATGTGTGACTGGCTATAGAATTTATTGGTCCATGTCAATAATAAGATTTTTTTATTAAATAAAATTTATTTATTTAGAAACTACATTAAAAAATTTACAAATTTACAAAAAAAAAAGGACAAGTTTGATAAAAATTGGATTAAAAAGTAAAAGATTAAAAACAATTTAAATTCAACGGAAGAATAGTAGACGAGAACCTTACTTTGGGATTGAAGTAGTATCAAACATTAATACTCCGTATCAATTATAGTACTCAAAATTGAAATTTAATATTAACAACTAAAAATAAATTGCATACAAACCGTATAATGTTTGATTTGAAATTTAATATAATAAACGGAGGTAAAGTATATAAAATATAATATCTTCCGAATATACGTAGTATTTTTTTATGTATTCAACTCCGTATTTTTTATGAAATAATTACATTAATATGACCAAAAAATAAAGATGATTTACAAAAATATGATTAGTTACTAGAGTAGTAATGAAATCATAATAATTCATGTTCAAGTTCTGAACTTAAGTTACTACAACACTACGTTGTAGTAATGAATAGTCATATTTATGTAAATAAGTTTTATTTTAGAATATTGTGTAAAAACCCCATTTTTTATTAATGTTTTGATATTTTTAGCAATTGTGACACTTTCTTATGGTTGAGGGAGTGAATTGACCTGATCCTTACTATCTGGTTTAGGGAATTAGGGACTTGTCTTATAACTGGAACTTACATGTAAACATAAATTTAAATCTTTTTAGCGAATCCAGTTTCAAAATTGTTTTTTTAGTTGACTGGTCTAATTGAGCAGTTTGAAGAAATTAATTTTGGTGTGGGTGGGAGGCTGGGGGCAAGATCTCAATCCTCAGCCCCTCTAGCTCAGCCATTGTTGACACCAGTTCCATAGAGGCTTCTACTTGTAGTATTTTTTGTGACAATTGTGTATGTATATGAACTTAGCTTATTAAATACTCCGTATGAAACAATAAACAAAATCATTTCACCACTTTTCCTTACATCAATAGCAGAGCTAGTAGATCTTAATTGACCAAACTCAAATCACAGTAGTAGCAGAAATGGGTGCACCTCTCTTGATGTAATCTACTTGAGCAGTCTTATAAACAGCAGGCAAACCAGTACTGGTATAATAACCCAGCACCTCACTGATTGGCAAATCAAACAGATCAGAGCTTGAATCACTGTGATAATCATCATCCTCGTCATCCTCACAATCATCATCAAACTTGCTGCATTTATTATTATCATCATATTTTTCTGCCTTACATTCACCTGCCCAATGAACACTTTTCCTTCTGATCTCTGAAATCCCACAGCTGAACATGAACTTGTATCCTGCTGGCCTGTGATCATCACCATCATCATCCTCATCATCCTTGGATGATGGGATTTTGGGATTGTAAGGAAATGGAGCATTGATTTTGAAAGTAGTATTTGCTGAATAGACTTCATCTTCTTCACTTGAGCTGCTGCTGCTGCTCCTTCTCTTCTTCCTCAACGATCCTGCCCGGATGTGAGCATTATCTTCTTCGTCCTTGTTCATGCGGGTTTTCGATTTATCGTTCTTCTTCTTGGAACTGTTTGTTTGGCTGAAAAGTGAATTCAAGAAGCAGGCTAGCTTCCCTCCTGGAGAGCTTGGCTGCTTGCACTTCTCTTTCAAGGCTATTGGCTTTTCTATTTCTGAAGGAATAAGTGATGATATGATCAATGATATGTCTCTATAAATTCTTGACTTTTATTTAATGCTCACTCTTTCTTTTGTAGTTGAAACCATAGATTTCTAAGAAACAAACAGTGGGGTTATTCAGTAGTGTATCAAATGTGGAAAATTAGTAGTGAACAGATCAAAAGTTTGGGAGATGTATAAAAATCAGAAAGAGCACAAGATGAAAAACAAGCTTCAATATAGTAATTAAAAAAAAAACTCTTCTTGTATACTCATCTCATTTTATTTGTCTCATGTTTCCTTTAGGCGTCTCAATGGTCTCATAATGTTTGTTTTCTTCTGAATTTTGTTATATTGATTTTTATGATTCATAATCCTTCATACTTTTACAAATTTCAATATCAACTGCATACTCAATACTTCATCAAGAAGTGATGGAGTGTACAACAATCATATTTACCGAAAGAGATAATCCCCTAAATAAGAGTAAATCATACTATCTCCGTTCCACTAATGCTAGAACATGACGTTCTACAAAAATCTGGTGTCATTATTAAGAAAAATGAGTTTACGTGATTGATATTAAAGTGATAAAGTAAGAATGATTTAGAAGTCATAAACATTATCTAATTTGGTACAAAACAATCTTATTGACACCGACTAAAAAAGAAAATTGAGACAAACTTAGCAGGACCGAAGGAACGTATTTAAGCAGAACACATTGATTCTTGTCCTCGGAAGTTTTATTCTACTAGTACTTAATAAGGCATATTATGATAGTAAAACATACGTAGTACTACTACTTGTCTCTATGTCTCTTTTTGTAAAAGATCTACGAAACCTGATGCTAAAAAGACCTTAAGGTAAGAATTGTAAGTACCAGATTCAGTTGATGAATGTTGGGAGCCCGCAGGAAAAAGAGTGTCAGTGCTCATTCTTTCCCCATTGCTGGAGGCAGCTTGGCTGTGGCACCCCCCATCGTTGACAATAATTTGGTTATTATCAGAGAAAGAGACTTCATAATCGTTGAAATAGTTTGCAGCCTCAAACACACCAAGCTCGCCTGAGTCGTCTCTCCGGTGGAACAACTTCTGGGACATTTTGTTCTAAATAAATATCTTCTACCTCAATTCAAACTCTGAATCTGATGATAAATAGCTACAAGTAGAAATTGTGCGGCAGATGTATGCAATACACTTTTTATGGGACGGGATTATATTGTTTAATGCGTGTGTGTGTGGGTTGAGAATCAAACTATATAAAGAGAGGGGGGGATGGGGGGCTAACTAAAAGAGTGGACTGTTGTGGTTATGCTCTTATGGCTGGACTTGCATAGTGCAAGTCTGTACATATCTATAAGTATTTTATTGGGTGTGTGTGCATAAAGTTGGTTCCTCCACGCCTAGGATTTCCTATTAAGTTCTGTATGTATTAAGACGTCTGTCTGAGTTAAGATGTAGATATTTGTATATAAGGCTGTTTATTTTGTATGTTGAATATAATAAACAGTCTGAATTGAGTAAAATTATCAATTTAGTATTATGTCTATATTATAATGTCAATGAAAAACTTCATTTATAATAAATCTATTCCACAATCAATTTAAAAAAATTGTCAGAAAAAACATCTTAATAGACGTCTTAATGGGAGGGACTCCTATTCTCCAGCTAAATGACTACGAATTTTAAATTAGTTTTTTAACTGCTATTCTCCAACAATATATCTATTCCACAATCAATCAGTTTTTTGACTGAATGATTAAGTCATGCTTCCAGTTAAGTCGTAAGTAAACATGACTTAATGGCTGAATGATTAAGTCGACATTGTCATTAAGTCCATTAAGTCGAAAGTCAACAACCCCTCATTCCATAAAAGAAAATTAGAAACTTTTTCAAGGGATATATATAATCCAACCTTTATATATATAATGACATTTGTAGATCGACACTTTGATACCTTTTATAAAATGACATTTAATTTGTACACACTTAAATATACGTCCTTGGTCAAATAAGTCACATATTACATATAGTCGTCATATATGAAATTGGGTAAAAAAATATTGTGTGTGTGTGAAAAATCCATCTGAAAACTTGTAAATTATATCATAGAAATTAATTTGAGGTTTTGCTGGTTGTTAATATCGAGTAATGAATGTTTGGAGTCTTTGGACTCACTTTGCGTAAACCGTTGGCCCATTAATTTGGTTGCAACTTAAATAGACATCCTAATGTAAAGATGTCCCTAAACCCCACCATGATCCCCATTTTCTTCTCATCTGATCTTTATTATCATTATTAGGCCCTTTTTACACCTTAAAATACGTACTCCGTAATTATTAAATGATTCATCATCAATATCGAACAAAAGAATAACATTAGACTTGTTTTTAGATTTTTATTTTATTCATTAGCACTTTTTCTTTTACCATTTATTAAATTAAAGGCTTCTTTTGGAATATTTAAACGTCGTTGAAGTGTTTGTTTAATATTGGTAAATTGTTCCTACCGGATTTCAGCTTATAAATATAGCTAAGGGCCTGTAAATTATATGCCTTACTGGATTATAGCTTAGGGCCTGTAAACTATATATCCTGCACCAATTTGGAAAAATATAACAAATTAATATATAAAATCTTGTGTACTCCTCTTAGTTGATTAACATTTTAGGATGAAATTCAAGTGTTATCGGCGGTATTGATTGATTCTGCTGAAATTTATAAAGTTTTGACTGAAGTGCCTGGATTGACTGATTCTGCTGATTTATGAAAATATTAAAGAAAATATTATATGAAAACATAGCTAAAGTGATCCTCTATGTATAGTAACTTTAGCCAATGCATTCAAAAAGTAACTTCAACATTACTTTTTCTTATTATTACACAATTCAGCGTGTCATAAGTCGAAAAACATGACTACCAAAGGGGCTCTAAAATCCTTTTATTTTTGCGAGTGGTTAATTTTATTCTCAATTTATCTGGCAAATCCTTTTATATGATTTTACATAGATTGAAAACTTACTCTCTTCTCTCGTTTTATATGATGCACTTTTTATTTTGCTACATCTAAAACATACGAATATTTTCCAAATTCAAATATTCTTTTATTAGTACGGAGTACATTTTTGGATCTCTTTTTAGGGTTATGCAAATTTAGTACAATATATGGTACATATAGGCATACAGCACAACTATGATGATGTCTTATCCCATTTAAGTTGTCTAAATTCGTTGCTTCAACACTGTTATTTTGCCGTTTCACAGAGATGACTATTATTGACTTCTGTTATTGATTAACTGATAACTAGGGCTTGTCGGACTACTCTCACACTGTTATTATCTTTTTTTTTTTGAAAAATGAAGGGTAGAGAGAGATTATTTTGAAATGAAAAATGTGTTTGGGACAGCTTTATTAAGACCCCCACATGGCTGTGTTGCACCTGCTTTGGCACAAACAAACAAACATTACCAATTTGCCTAGTATGCGTTACAATGACGAAAAATGTTTTGTGTGCATTTTTGTGTATACATTGTACATTCGTTTGTCTGACGCATAAAGAATTCTCTATTTATAGATCATTCTGTACAATTGGCTTTGGACAGACAATTTTTTATACGTGAGACAAACGAGTGTACAAAAGTGTACACAAAAATGTGTAAACCTACTTTTGCACGATCGGCTTCTGCATCATATGCATATACGGACTCCGTCCCATAATTATTTTCATATTTTCTTTTTTCGTTGGTCCTAAAATTATCTTTTCTTTCTCTTTTTGGCAAAAAAGTTGTGCTTCACAATATTTCTTACAAATATTTACACATTTATCTCTCATTTGCATAAATCTCCACCACACAACCCACTATTTTAAAGTGTGTCATTTGTACTTCAAGAGATAAATATGTGATGAAGGGAGTATATAAATCATTTTTTGTAAATTGTAAAAATATATTACTCCCGGTCTCCTTAACCAAAAAATATCCCACTTTCCATTTTCGTCATACACTCTATAATTTTTAAATCTTCTCATCATACACTTAGGGCCGGCCCTGACCATGTCTAGGAAGTGCGGCCGAACAGGGCCCATGATCAGAAGAGGGCCTAATATTTTTAATATGTTAAGTATTACGTGCAATCATCTGGTTAATTACTACTCCGAATGTTCTATTTGCTCTAGTCATTTGTCGAATTGCATGTAGGAGTTCTGTTGTTAAAGCCAATTTCAAAATGCAAATAAAATCATTTACTGTACATATACCACTAGGGTGAAAATGTGGCATTAAACTATACTTTGATAGTTTGATTGCCTTGAAAATGTTAGTACCAGTGCCTTGAACACATAAGGAGGAACCGAGGAACTATAACGAGACAGCTTGCTAGTCTAAATACATAAATAAAAAAACATCCCTTCATTCCTCTAAAGGCTCTATTTTTTTTTTTTGATCATCTAAAGGCTCTATTTATCAACATAAATAAAACAAAACATGAGCAAAAAAAATAAAAAAAAAACAAAAAAAAAACATAAATAATCCGGTTCTTAAAGCCTTTTTCTTGAAAAAACTAATTACTTACGGGGTATATTAAAAACCAATTCCCAATATGGGGAATTAGAGAGACAATGATAAGAACCGACTTAGCATTGCATCTTTGCTATTTATTCAAGAATACTTCTCAAAAAGTCTGATAATTTAAATCTAATTTTAACGACTTCTTCTCTACGAATCTGAAGGCATTAACATACGTTACTTCTAGTCTAGAGTTATAAATATTAGTCTGAGTATTAAAAACATAACATAAGATACGAAATATGAAATTTCAGTTATTTTATTATTAATATTTTATTTTATACTTCAGGGCCTCATATTCAATTTTGAACAGGGCCCTTTAATTTATACGTCAGGACCGGCCCTACATACACTCAATAATTTAGAAAATAATATACTGTTTATTTTGGATTTATCCTTTATTCCATCACACTACAACACTATTTTCCCTATCATATTTTAAATAATTTATATCCTCTTTCATTATTATTAATCTACATACTTTTGAAATGAGAACATTTTTATGCTAGGGAGGGGAGTAAGAAACAAACACCTAGGCTACATAATTCTATCACAGAAGGCACTCCCTTCTCACAGCCCCAAAAAAAAAGCTATTAATAAAGGAGTTCTACACTTCTGCACCAGCTACCTCTAAACACTCCCTGTCCAAATAACAATGGAAGGGAGCTACAAAATCATTCATATCAAAAGGATATTACCTATACAAAATTTTATGAGTCAAAATCTTAATTTGCATAAAAATATTTTGGACTTGTGCATAACTTCTTTCAAAATTTCTGGAATTCGTACTCAGTACTCTTCCACACTGTATACATCCATACAGATCGAAGCGGCAGCGGTAGCGGCAGCAGCAGCGGTAGCGGTCATCTCGGTAGCGGCCTGTAGCCGCATATAGCGGTTGTAACGGCGTGAAATATTTTCAAATGCGCAAAAACATAAATTTAATGGGTATTAAAGTTAATAGAAATATTATGAATATTTGTTTGAACACTTATAACATTAACAACTAATCAACAAATAAGAATATGACAATTAAAAGAGAATGATAAGTAGAACGATTGGTAAACTAAATAATTATTACACACATAATCAAAATGTCTTCAAACTAAACAAGTCTTAACACATTTTTAAATTAAATAGATTGTTACATTAAATGACACATTACAAAAAGTTCCAAATATTACACTGTCTCCACCTACAAATACATATTCAGTGCGAACTTCCCTTCAAAATAAATATGAGAAGCCAAATAAGTTAATAAATCAAAAATAATAAAAAGACATTTAAATGTACTGCTACAGTCCCAAATAATTTTGCCATTTCATAAAATTTGGATCAGGATTTTTATTAATATAACATTATAAAAGTTATAAATTTTATACTTTTATGAAAGTACTTTTAACAAAGAACATTATTATTTCATTTGTATATTATAAATAATTTTTAATAAAAAGATATACTCCTCCGTCCAGAAAATATGTTACTTATATGAAAAATTGTTGTCCTTTCACAATCAAATTTTAAGAAGTAGACCATGCATTGCAACTTGCATGATCCATAATAATACCACTTGCGTTCCAAATTGTTGTTAAGTCAACATTTTTTTCGTCAACCGATATTAAAGTTAAACCATCTTTATTAATAATTTAATCGATTTTAATAATTACAATTTACATATTTATTAATATTTGCTACAATACTGTATGTGGATACATGT